TGAAACCCGCACACTTTGGAGGCCGCCAATTTTATTTTTTTCAATGGCGGGCCTGGCCGCGCGGCACCTCCGAGGTTTGCTTGTGGCGACAAAAAATTTCTGCAAGGCTGGGGCCGTGTACTACCTGTCTCTTATACACATCTAGATGTGTATAAGAGACAGGAGAGAGAGAGAGAGAGAGAGAGAGAGATGTTTCTCTTCTTTCTTCACATTCTTTCTTTTGCGGGCAAGTCTGCAACAGGTACGTTAGTTTGGTTATGATTACACTTGTCTTATTTTGGCTCTGTATTATAATGCATCAGCATTTGATCTTTGGCTGACTTCTTCCTGTTTGACTGTGGAAACTCAGGTGCGGGTTTTGCCAGAAGATGAAGCCCGAATACACAAAATTTGGTCTCAACTCCAGTGTCGATGGCCTTGTTGTCGCCGCCATCCGTGCAGACGAGCACAAGTAAGCACATCCGTATCCATGCCGCCTCCTCTTCCAATCATTACACACTAGATGAAACTTTGCTTGAGTCACCATTAGTGCCAGGCCCAACTGGTGCTATGTTCATGCTAGGAACTCATGAACCTGGATGCTGTTATGTCCAGGTGCATGCTATTCCAGCATGCACCATGGCACCAGTTGGGCCTTCCACTCCTTACTCCCGCTCCTACCTTCTTTCGCCGAGGGCAAGGCCGCATCAGCATGATTGTATGACAGTGTATGTGTTCTTGACATAGTTTGTATGCATTTATGATGATGGGGCATTCATTATGTTGGGAAGAAGAAGGTTACCCCATGCTTAACTTTTTCTCTCTCTCTTTATTCTAGCCAAGGAAACCAGAGGTCTGTAATCTCTCCATGCTACCATTCGGCTGTAGTCTGCCCAAGGCTGTAGTCTACACAATACCAAGCCGAATCTTAGCTTGTTTTCCCTGTATTTCGACCCACCAATAGATGGAGCCGTCGTCTAAAAAAAAAAAAGAAAAARAAAAAAAAAAGAAAAAAGAAAAGAAAGGTTGTCCCTTTATCAGGCTGTAGTCTCCGCAATCCTAGCCCCAGTTCCAATGCCCTCCTTCCTCCACTTTGTCCCATTTCCAGTCCCAACCTTACTCTGCTTTGTCCCATTTCCAGTCCCGACCTTACTCTGCTTTGTCCCAGTTCCAGTCCCAACCTTACTCTGCTTTGTCCCCCTCACCAACTCCTTTCTCCTTAATGTCCTTCCCCCTCCTCCAAGGACCTCTCCTTCTACACACTTAAACCACCAGTACACGGCCCCATCCCTGCAGAAATTTGTTCGTCGCCTACTCCGGAAATTTTTCGCTGCTCAGGCCTCTACTGGACGACAATGGCTGGCGGCACCAGCGCGAAAAGAAAACAAGTGTGCCGCTGGCTGTTCGGAAAAGCTTGGTCCGCAGTGCAGCGCCTCCAGGCCCGGGTGTACTTACCGGTGGTTTAAGTGCTCCAAGGCTATGGTGCCCGTCTTCTTCCTCAGTGCCGCTATGGCTTCTGTTGTCTGGATCCTGCCCTTCTCCCACTAACACTCCTTGACTTAGCGCTCTGGCAGCCTGGCGGCACCCTCCGTCCAGAGTGATGTTTTGACCCCTGCCCCAGCCTTTCCTTAAATGGGTACTAGATCTGGGTCCCTGATGGGCCCGTCACAGCCATGCCCCGCTGAGTCCTCGTCTAGGTCTGATCGGGCCTTCACTTCTACTGGCCCTGAGCTTGGGCTTAATGGCCCTCTGCTGCCCGCCGAGAGGTTCACGACCCCTCATAATAGTAGTACTGAATAATTAATATGCATATGCCTGCGTTTCTGGTGTCATGTCCTTGGTGGAGATGCTCCCCACCAGTCAAGATACATTAAAAAAAAAAAAAAAAAAAAAAAAAAAAAAAAATTTCAGCCTCAAAGCTAGGGGGGGGGGGGGGGGGGGGGGGGGGGGGGGGGGGGGGGGGGGGGGGGGGGGGGGGGGGGCGGAGGGGGGGGCTGCGGGGCCATGTGAAAGTCAGGTGT